CAGGCCCGGCTCTCAGCTGCCCCAGGCCCGGCTCTCAGCTGCCCCCAGGCCCGGCTCTCAGCTGCCCACAGGCCCGGCTCTCAGCTGCCCGCAGGCCCGGCTCTCAGCTGCCCCCTGGCCCGGCCCAGCTCTCAGCTGCCCCCAGGCCTGGCTTTCCCTTCCAGGACCTCTGGAACTGCCTCTGCAGCCCACTCCATCCCTCCAAGGCCCAGGCCAGAAGTCAGGGTACCTGAGTGCTCCCCCACTTGTCACTGTGGGGGGGATCCCTGAACCCCTGAGGCCCTGGGCAGGGCCCAGCGCGGGCAGGCCCATCAGAGGTGGAGGAATAGGCATGGGGGGGTGCAAACGGCCTATTTCCCTGCCATCCTAAGCGACGATCCGCCCTGCGGTGCGAGTGGGCCGAGGAGGGGCAGCAAGAAAGCCTGAGGGACCTCTCACGCCCACTCAGAATTTGGGGTGCTGTATTCCCTATGGGTGCTGAGTCTGGGTATGGGTCAAGTGCCTCTTTCGCTCTGTGGGGCGCTGGGCCGGTGACCTTTGTGGTGTGGAACCTCAAGTAAAGCGAGTGGTCTGTTCACCTGTGGGCTTGGAGGTCTCATACCTATTCCTCAATGTTTATGGGGCAGGACTCCGGAGCTGCGGCTGTTCGTAGGAAAGACCAAGAGCAGATGGTAAACGAGAGAAGACACACAGACATGCACACAGTCAAACCGGGCCGCGCCGGCCCAGCACCGTGGGCCAGGAACTTCCTTCTGGAGCAGACTCTGGACTGTTCTCCCTGGGTCCTGACACCCTGCCGTGAGGACACCGTGAGACCCGGGGGGCCGGCCCCCACGCCCACAGGCTCCCCTAGGCGTGGAGCTCCCCCTCGGTGTGGAGCTCCCCCTCTGCCTGCCTTTGAGGAGACAAACAGGTGTTTTCCACGCAGACCCCGAGTGGGGACCCAGAAAAGGGAGCAGGGCGCCCCCTGGCGGTGGATTTGGGAAGCGCCGCATCCTGCCTCAGTCTCGGTTGCGCCCAGTTTCCTGCGCAGGGAAGAGACCCTGCAGGTCTGCTCAGTGTCTAGAGTGTGGGCGTTCCAGCGGCCTCTTAGTCTTGGGTCGTGAGGCCTGAACAGGGACCTAGCTGCGGCCTCCGCGTTTGCAGCTTCCACAGCCCAGCCCGCCCGGCTGCGTCCAGTCACTGGAAACAGAACAAACCCGACGGTCCTTCCTTCTCTCCACCTCGTACACCGCGCACAGGCTCCTTCCGCCTTACCACGGCCCCCACCACTGGCCCACCGTTGGTGGGTGGCCTCCGGCCCCCCAGGACCCACTGACTTGGTGTGGCCTCCAAACCATCACCGCCTATGCCGTCAGTGCCACCTCCGCGGGTCCCTCACAGCCACCTTAGAGCACGCGCTCCCTGGCGCTCCAAGCCCAGGGCGACGGAAGCTTTCAGGAGAACGGGGCTGGAGAGCCGCAGGCTCCTCTGCCCGCTCCGAGGGTGACCAGCTCGGACACTGGGGGTCCTTACAGCTGCCTGTCCTGGGGGGGCAGGGCTGTTCCGCCTCGGGGGAAGGAAGCAGATGGAGCAGAGACCAGACGGGAGGCCACGCCCGGGCCAGCGAGGAGCCGGCCAGGAAGCTGGGGCCAAGAGCTGGACGTGTTAGGACACCCGCTGCAGTGGACACGGACTCTTGCAGAGTTCCCCGGAGTTTTGCTGTGAGTGACGGGCTGACAGCAGACCCAAAGAGCCAGGAAGTGCTTTCCCGCTGCCCAGAGCCCCAAGGCCGCGGGCCAGGACAGTGGGCACCCCCACGCTCCTCCCGCTGCGCATGCTGGAACTGCAACCCCAGGTCGGTCTCAGCATTTCCTGAGGCCACCGCTAGGAACCCCAGGGGTTCGTTCTTCCTCTCAGTCACGCTCCCTCCTGCAATCCCATCAATGAAGACAATACCAACAAGCAGGCTGGCCGGAGGGAGTTAGGAAGAGGAAGCAGCGGCTGCGTCCACCCGTATGGCTGGCCGCAAGAGTCCCCTGCCAGAGACGGGACCGAGAAGCCCCGAGGAGCCCCGCCAGGGCACCCAGCACGGAGCGGGGCGCCAGCTCCCAGAGCCCCGCGGCCCCAGCTCACAGCAGCCCGGCCCGGGGCCCTTGCCAGCGAGCACCCGCGGTCGCGGGGCCGGGGCTCACACGTCCTCACTGGTATGTTTTTCTCAGAAAGTCTCAGTGGGCTGGACACGGGCCCTTGCCAGACAGGACTGGGAGCCCACCCGGCAAGCGCGGTGGGCACAGCTCAGCGCAGGGCTGGCGCGGCGGGCGCGGCGTTCACAGGGTACCGGCAACAGAAACGAGCTCGAACAGCACAGACCAGACACACGATTCACGCTCGGCAAGGAGATGTGGAAAGGAGACGGACAGACAGAGCGGGGGGAGCCGGGGCCTTGCCGCCCGGGCTCCGGAGAGGGCAGCTCCTCCGGGCGGAGGGCAGGCACAGCTGGCCGGGCTCGGGGGCTGGCGGCGTGCCCGGGCGTGGGGCATGGAGCGTGGCAGCCGCAGGGAGTGGGGGTGCTCGGAGGCCTCCAGCCACTTCACCGAGCGAGTGAAGCACTGGACCCCAGGTGTGAGGAGGCTCTGAAGCGGCAACTGCCCTCACTCTGGGGCTCACGGAACTGCCGGGGTCACGGCGGGAGGGACAGCGTGGCTGAGTCCACCTGGGCCAGCTGCAGCCTTAGGGCGGTGGCGCTGGGGCCTGGCAGGGCGAGGAGGCAGGACGGGGGGCGGGGGACGGGGAGCAGGCCGGGGCTCAGTGCGGTCACTTGGGTGTGTCCTGGCCTGTGTCAGCATCCCACACTGACAGCCCCGTCAGATAAAGCCGGGCTCCGCCCTGGCTGCCCCTCGGGGGCCATGGTCAGTGTGGGGGGAGGTAACGCTTGCTGCTCACAGAGCCTGGTGTTGGCTTTTGGACTCCTCCCTGAGACTAAGGCCAAGAACGGGCCCTTTCGGGGGGCTGCGGACTGACCCCCTATTCAAGGGGTCAGGTTATGGCTGCAAGAAGAGAGGGGGAGTGTCTGCCTCAAACTTCCTGTCGTGGGAACAAGCCCAGGCCACCTGCCATAGCGGGCGAGGAGGAGTGGAGGGGGCTCACTCAGGCCCCTCCCCAGGGGTGACGGGCCCCTGCTCCGCCTCTCCCGGCCTAGTTCTGGCTCAGAGCGGGGTACTCGGGGACACACCCGCAGCCTCGCTCCCTTCCAGCCAGGGTTTGCAGCGTCTCAGCACAGCCCACGCCTCCTTGCAGGAACTGCCGGGCAGGGGCCGGGTCCGGGGTGAGGGCGGGGTGCGAGCAGGGAGTGTCCCCCACCAAGGCCGTGTTCAGCAGTCTGCCACTCACCCGGTAAGTGGACCTCAGAGCACAGCTTATTGTCCAGTGCTTTCACGCTGGCGACGTCAAAGTCATTGTTATTGTCACACTCCATACCTAGAAACGCGCATGTCCTCCGGCCTGCAACGGAGCGAGTGCAGTTAGAGTGGCCAGTGTGCTTTGCTCTGCTTTGCTGTCCTCAAACAAACATCTTCAGGATGGAGACAAAAACAAATCAAATCATATGCTTAAAAAAAGACAGTTCTTAAGTGGGTAGAGAGTGGACAATAAAGGAGCTGATGGGGGCCTGACCTGCCTGTTCTCGGGCCTGCTGCTTCCCTGACTGCCTGTGGAGAGCTGACCACTGAGGGCTGGGGGAGGCGGGCTCCCCCAGCGGCCAGGGGTGCAGCCCCGGGAAGTGTGGTGGGAGAGCCGGGGAGCTCCTGCAGCGTCTGTGGTGTGAGTGGGTGACCCACGGCCCTGAGCAATGTCGGGGCCGCAAACAACGAAAGGCCTTGGGCTCCCTGGTCTGGGGAGCCGCTCCCTGGTCTGGGGAGCCCCTCGGCATCACTGAACTCACAGGATGACGTAAGACTTAACTGGCTGTTCTGAATACGTCTGCAGGGACTCTCAGGACCTACAGGCATGGAAGAAAAGGGAAAGGCTTTGTTTTTAAACTCTCCTCTTTTTCTCTTCTTTGGCAAGAGTGAGAAAACCCCCCGGAGGTGCTGTGGTGTCTGGGGGGTGCTGGGGCACCCGGGGGGTGCTGGGGCGTCCGATGGAAGCCGCCTGGGCCTCTCAGGAGCAAGTGTTCTACGGGGAACTCACACTGACTCGGGAGCCTGCAGCGCTCAAGACATCTGCCGAGTGGCTGAAGCGCAGCCCCCGGGCGGCGTGCAGGGTGCGGCTGAGCCCCTCGGGGCGGCCACCCCTCCTTCAGGGCTCCTTGGCCAGGCCAGACTGACCAAGTCCACATGCACGCCCTGAGCACCCAAGCCACAGCCAGCGCCAAAGCAGAAGCAAGTCGGTGACATCTGCCGCCCGGCCGGGGCTCAGGTCTGCTCTGCAGGTGCCCTGCCGGAGGGCACGCGGTCCCAGACCGTGGGGTTTCCATTCTCGGGGGTGATCTTCCCAGCCCACCCCGTCTTCCGACTTCCCGGCTCCACGTGGAGCCCCCTTCCCTTCTGGCCTTACTCGGAACAAGTCTTCCCGATGAAGACGCTGGGGCCCTCGTCGTGGGAAAGGAGAGCGGCGTGGCCTGCCCCGCCGCCCGCTGGGCTGCTGCCCTCGCGCGGGGCTGCGCTGGGCTGCCGGAGCCCAGGGCCCCAGGACCCCCGGCCCGCCCCTCTCCGCGGAGGCCAGGCCCCCCGCCATCACGCCCCTCCACCTGTCCTTCCAGTCGGGTGTGAATCGGCGAGGGCCGGTGCCCTCCCGCCCTGCCCTGTTAGGGCCGTAGAGTCCACTGCCAAGCCCTGCCCCTTCCCTCGGGCGCCCGCGGCCCCTCAGGGCCCAGGGGCCTGTTTCCCTCCATAAAGTTCAGGGAGGGGGAGCGCCAGCAGGACGGGGGTGAGGTGACGGTGCCCCCGCCCGGGATGTGGCTTAGCTGAGGCTGCTGAGTCTGGGGGCTGCTGGCCAGAGCGACGGGACTCAGCCAGACAGCAGGACCAGAAGGACGGCGCAGGGCCCGGGAAGTCCGCTCGGACTCGATGCGACGCCCTGTGTCCGCTGCAGCTCCTCCTCCTGACATGGCTCCGGGTCCCACAAGGAGCTGGGAGGGCCACCGGGGTCCCCAGCCCCCTGCTCGCACTGACCACCTTCCCCACGGCCACACAACGGCCACGCGCCGCCGCACCCCTGCCTCTTCCCCGCCTGGCCCACGGCACCGGGGAAGCAGTATCAAGAGACGGAGCAAGCGCCCAAGGCCTTTACCATCTTCTTGTGTGGGAGGTCCGTCCTCTTCCTCGATGACGTCATTTCCCTAGGACAGAGGAAGGCCACTGAGGCTTCAGAAAGCGCCTGCCCTGTCTACGGGCCAAGCCCCAGAGCTCTAGAAGGCTGAGCAGAGGCAGGTTCGCTTGGTGGGGCAGGCTGGGCTGGGCCTGCAGGGGGGGGGGAGGGCACCTTCCTCGTGGCCTGGGGCTGGCGAGGCCCAGCCCCCCCTCAGATCTGCTCACAGGCTGCTGCAAGGTGCAGATAATCTATGTCGGGCAAAACGCAGTGAGATCATGAAACGTCAGAAAGCCCCCACGACCTAAACCCTGTCCAGGGGCTGTGCTCCTGGGAGGTCATCTGGCGCCACAGCAAGTTCCGGAGCCGCCCCCCCCAGAGGCGGGGCCTCGCTGCCATGTGGCTGGCAGTCCTGTCCCCCCCTGGAGGGGCTTCTGGGCAGGCCGGGGTGGGGGCCAGGCCCCTCGGGTCTTTCTGTCCCCCGGCGCCAGGAAGTGCCTGCAACACAGTCGCCCCTCGTGGACACCCACTGGACGAAGGGCAAAGTGGGGTCAAGGTGCGGACTCTGGTGGGGACTCCCGCTCCAGGCCCAGCTCGCAAGACCAGCGCCCTGTGCTCACGCCCCGCCCCAACCAACACGGCTTCGGCCACGCCCCCGCGGCTTCGGCCACGCCCCGCGGCTGCCGGCCACGCCCCGCGGCTGCCGGCCACGCCCCCGCTCCTTCCAGCACATCCCTGCCCCAGCTGCCCCGGCTGCCCCGGCTGCCCCGGCTGCAGCCTGTTACCTCAGCATCCTGCTCCTCTGCGAGGCCGACAAAGTTGCGGTCTGGAGACGCCCCGGGCATCGCCTGCGAGGGGCAGGGGGTCAGGACGCCATCGCCCCGGCTCCCCGGCCAGCTCCGTGGTGGCAGATCTGACCCCGTCCTCTGGACAGAGGCGGCCCAACAGAGGAGCGGGACCAGGGCGCTGTGGACCCTGGGCGCCCGGTTCGGCATGGCCCGACGGGGGGCAGAGCTCAAAGGAGCCACTCCGGTGCCTGTGCAGCACACCGGGCAGCGGGGACTCCCCAGGCCTCACCTCTCCTTCTTCTGAGGGGGCCCTGCTGGTGGCCCCAGGGGAAGGGAGGACCTCTCCCTCCTCTTCGGTGCCAGGGGCGATGTAGGAGCCGGACATGGAGGAGACCGTGTCGGTGCTGATCTGGGAGTGCTGGCTCTGGGAGGACACCATGGACATGACCGACTGGGCCAGGCTGCTGCTGGCAGGGTCTGTGGCCACAGGAGGAAGCAGACAGCAGGTCAGGCCTGGCTCCTTGTCCCCGAGCTTGGGCCAGGGTGACAGTGGCCTCGCCGCCTCCCCTGGCAGGTTTCAGAGGTCAGCTTGGCCAGCCCTGCCCCTTCCCTCGCGAGCCCAGCAGCCCCTCAGGGCCCAGCGGCTGCGCGTGCCGGCAGGACGGACATGAGGTGGTGGTGCCCCACCGGTGTCTGGAGGGGCTGCAGGGCTGAGGGATGTGGCTGGGGGAGGACACGCGTGGCCCTCGGGTACCTTCTGGGGAGGAGATGGTGGAGGACAGCGGCGTCCCTGTGCAAGACGAGTGGCCGATGGTCCCTGAGGACGACAGGGTGAGGTTCTCACTCTCTGGGGTCACACCCTCTTCCTGGGGAGAGAGGAGAGGGAGAGTGAACACACTAGGCTAGTGGAGGGGTGGGGTGGCGTGGAGCTCAGGCCCAGCAGGGGGGCTCCTCCGTGCCCCCCCAGCCTGCCAGGCCGCTCTCCCAGGGGAGCCCCGCAGGAGCGCAGCTGTGGCCACACAGAGACAGCGGCTCAGGTGACACAGGTCACCGGCAGCTATGACACGGGACACCAGGCTTCCCTCTGAGGAGGGGAGCACAAAGCCAGTGGGGCTGTTTCGGCCGTCTGCTGCCTCGCCACCTGCTCCCCACACCACTACGGGTCGCCCCCAGCCCACGGCCCAACCCCCACAGCCGGGAGGCTCGGGCCCCAGCTTCTCTCTGTGGAGGCTGGCGAGGTCACGGGCTGGCTCCCCTCGGCAGCCGCCTGCCTGGAGCTGCTGCACCCCTCCCCCCTTCCTCTCACCATTCAGCGTCCGCCCTGCGCCATCTCTCCCACCCTCGCGCCCTCAGGTTAAAACTCAGTCAGCAAAGCCGCCAGCCCGCCCCACAGAGAGCCTAGAGCTGCCCGTGGAGTGCCCGTCCACGCCCCGAGGGCCTGCACCCGCCTGGTGGTCTGTGAGGGGCGCGCAGAGTAGCGAACCCCGTTTCCCTCCGTATGTGCCCCTGCCGGGCTCCACAGGCGTGGGCACCCCAGCTCCAGCCCCCACTCCCTCCCCAGCTACTGAGACCCACAGTCCCACCCACTCTTCTGTGTCCACCCGCAAGCCCTCAGGCGCCCTGTGGCTTGGCTGGCTGTGGCCTGCGGTCAGGGGTCGCGAGTGGGCGGCGGTCAGTGGTTACCTCGCCCAGGTGCTGCGCCGGCCGCTGGGCCGGGGGCCCCTCGGAGTCGGTGCAGGACGGCTCGTCCGCCTCTTCGTGCAGCACGGACGAGTTCTGGGAAATGGATCTTGGGAGCGGAGGGGAAGGAGCTGCAACGAACGTCCACTCGTGGACAGACGTGCCCTTGCTGGAGAACCAACTTCCAGAAGCGCGAGGGGCCGGGAACCCCCAGGCTTAAGCAGGGGTGTGGTGGGGGAAAGCTCCAGCTCTCCAGGGCCAGGAAGTCCGACGTTTACCTTTAAACTCCTTCAATAACCGTGTCTGAATGGTGCTGGTATTTTGGGGACTTCAGTATTTTCGTCTCTAGAGTACCCCACTTTTATTCCCCTTTGGAGGTGTCTCATGGATTTAAATGCTTAAGAGACACAGAGAACAGGGGTCCTTCCAGAGCTGGACGAAGCGACACTCCTGGGGGCCCCAGTGACCCTGGCCGTGTCCTCCCCCCTACGCCTCACCCCTTTCCCCCAAGACAGCACAGGAGACTCGTGGGTCTGACTCCCCTGGGGGCCCACACGCCACCCTACTTTCATCCCTGAAGGACAGGACAGCCTTCCACCCCCGAGCCCCGGTGGGCCCACCCCGCTGGGGGACCCTGGGTCAAGGCCGTGGCCCCGGAACTCACTTGGAGAGGCTCCTTTTGAGCCTGAGCCCCTGGCTGCTGCAGTCGGACAGGCGGTCGAGCGGGGACAGCGTCCTGATGGGCGGCAGGTGGCCGTCGCTGCCGTAGGAGGGCAGCGTGCCCGAGAGGGGCCCGTCCCCCAGCACGTGGAGCGGGGGCACCGCGGGGGACGGCGTGAGGGGCCCGTTGAGGGCCTCCAGGAGAGACACCACTTCATAGCCCGGCGGAATGTTCTCGGAAGACTAGGGGTCAGAGAGGGGCAGGCGTTAGCCGGCATCGCTGGCGGGAGGGCGCGCAGGGCGGGGAACCCGGTCCCCAGCGCCGTGACAGGTGACCCTCCCAGGGTGTTCATTTTTCTGATCGGAAGGGCGACAGGCGTTGCTCACAGGGAACTTGGGAAACACATGCAGGAGAAAGGCCAGGGGTCGATGACCGCGGTCATCACGGTCACTGGCTTGCCGGTGACGGCTCTGTCCCCCGCTCGGCTCCGTTATGAGGGGCGCGGGGCTTAGTGTCCCGCTGACATCGCCAGACACCAGCGCTGCCTGCCCACGGGTCTCCTGGCGCTGGCCAGGCAGGAGGGGCCAGCTCCGCCTCTGACCAACGCCCAAGGGTGCCCTGGTGTGAGCCTCTTCTTCAGAGGTCTCCTCGGGACGCAAGCCTAAGGCCTGAGACCACGGGGAGCCTTCTGACGCCTCTCCCGTCCCTGGGGTGCTCCCCAGGCTGAAGGCCCCGGGCGTGTCTTTAACGGAACAGGCTTGAGCACTGCAGGGGCCCACGATGCCCCCCC